CAAAATTGCAAGAACAAGGGCCTAGCGTGTGCAAAATCGCAAGAACAAGGGCCTAGCGAGTGCAAAATTGCAAGAACAACGGCCTAGCGTGTGCAAAATCGCAAGAACAAGGGCCTAGCGTGTGCAAAATTGCAAGAACAAGGGCCTAGCGTGTGCAAAATTGCAAGAACAAGGGCCTAGCGTATGCAAAATCGCAAGAACAAAGGGCCTAGCGAGTGCAAAATTGCAAGAACAAGGGCCTAGCGAGTGCAAAATTGCAAGAACAAGGGCCTAGCGAGTGCAAAATTGCAAGAACAAGGGCGTAGTGTGTGCAAAATTGCAAGAACAAGGGTCTAGCGTGTGCAAAATAGCAAGAATAAGGGCCTAGCGTGTGCAAAATTGCAAGAACAAGGGCCTAGCGAGTGCAAAATTGCAAGAACAAGGGCCTAGCGTATGCAAAATCGCAAGAACAAAGGGCCTAGCGAGTGCAAAATTGCAAGAACAAGGGCCTAGCGAGTGCAAAATTGCAAGAACAAGGGCCTAGCGAGTGCAAAATTGCAAGAACAAGGGCGTAGTGTGTGCAAAATAGCAAGAACAAGGGCCTAGCGTGTGTAAAATAGCAAGAACAAGGGCCTAGCGAGTGCAAAATTGCAAGAACAGGGGCCTAGCGTGTGCAAAATTGCAAGAACAAGGGCCTAGCGTGTGCAAAATTGCAAGAACAAGGGCCTAGCGTGTGCAAAATAGCAAGAATAAGGGCCTAGCGTGTGCAAAATTGCAAGAACAAGGGCCTAGCGAGTCCAAAATTGCAAGAACAAGGGCGTAGTGTGTGCAAAATTGCAAGAACAAAGGCCTAGCGAGTGCAAAATTGCAAGAACAACGGCCTAGCGTGTGCAAAATTGCAAGAACAAGGGCCTAGCGTGTGCAAAATTGCAAGAACAAGGGCCTAGCGTGTGCAAAATTGCAAGAACAAGGGCCTAGCGTGTACAAAATAGCAAGAACAAGGGCCTAGCGAGTGCAAAATTGCAAGAACAAGGGCCTAGCGAGTGCAAAATTGCAAGAACAAGGGCCTAGCGTATGCAAAATTGCAAGAACAAAGGGCCTAGCGAGTGCAAAATTGCAAGAACAAGGGCCTAGCGTGTGCAAAATTGCAAGAACAAGGGCCTAGCGAGTGCAAAATTGCAAGAACAAGGGCGTAGTGTGTGCAAAATTGCAAGAACAAAGGCCTAGCGTGTGCAAAATTGCAAGAACAAGGGCGTAGCGTGTGCAAAATTGCAAGAACAAGGGCCTAGCGTGTGCAAAATTGCAAGAACAAGGGCCTAGCGTGTGCAAAATTGCAAGAACAAGGGCCTAGCGAGTGCAATATTGCAAGAACAAGGGCCTAGCGTGTGCAAAATTGCAAGAACAAGGGCCTAGCGTGTGCAAAATCGCAAGAACAAGGGCCTAGCGAGTGCAAAATTGCAAGAACAAGGGCCTAGCGTGTGCAAAATCGCAAGAACAAGGGCCTAGCGAGTGCAAAATTGCAAGAACAACGGCCTAGCGTGTGCAAAATCGCAAGAACAAGGGCCTAGCGTGTGCAAAATTGCAAGAACAAGGGCCTAGCGTGTGCAAAATTGCAAGAACAAGGGCCTAGCGTGTGCAAAATTGCAAGAACAAAGGCCTAGCGTGTGCAAAATCGCAAGAACAAGGGCCTAGCGAGTGCAAAATCGCAAGAACAAGGGCCTAGCATGTGCAAAATCGCAAGAACAAGGGCCTAGCGAGTGCAAAATTGCAAGAACAACGGCCTAGCGTGTGCAAAATTGCAAGAACAAGGGCCTAGCGTGTGCAAAATTGCAAGAACAAGGGCCTAGCGAGTGCAAAATTGCAAGAACAAGGGCGTAGTGTGTGCAAAATTGCAAGAACAAAGGCCTAGCGTGTGCAAAATTGCAAGAACAAGGGCGTAGCGTGTGCAAAATTGCAAGAACAAGGGCCTAGCGTGTGCAAAATTGCAAGAACAAGGGCCTAGCGTGTGCAAAATTGCAAGAACAAGGGCCTAGCGAGTGCAATATTGCAAGAACAAGGGCCTAGCGTGTGCAAAATTGCAAGAACAAGGGCCTAGCGTGTGCAAAATCGCAAGAACAAGGGCCTAGCGAGTGCAAAATTGCAAGAACAAGGGCCTAGCGTGTGCAAAATCGCAAGAACAAGGGCCTAGCGAGTGCAAAATTGCAAGAACAACGGCCTAGCGTGTGCAAAATCGCAAGAACAAGGGCCTAGCGTGTGCAAAATTGCAAGAACAAGGGCCTAGCGTGTGCAAAATTGCAAGAACAAGGGCCTAGCGTGTGCAAAATTGCAAGAACAAAGGCCTAGCGTGTGCAAAATCGCAAGAACAAGGGCCTAGCGAGTGCAAAATCGCAAGAACAAGGGCCTAGCATGTGCAAAATCGCAAGAACAAGGGCCTAGCGAGTGCAAAATTGCAAGAACAACGGCCTAGCGTGTGCAAAATTGCAAGAACAAGGGCCTAGCGTGTGCAAAATTGCAAGAACAAGGGCCTAGCGTGTGCAAAATTGCAAGAACAAGGGCCTAGCGTGTGCAAAATAGCAAGAACAAGGGCCTAGCGAGTGCAAAATTGCAAGAACAAGGGCCTAGCGAGTGCAAAATTGCAAGAACAAGGGCCTAGCGTATGCAAAATTGCAAGAACAAAGGGCCTAGCGAGTGCAAAATTGCAAGAACAAGGGCCTAGCGTGTGCAAAATAGCAAGAACAAGGGCCTAGCGAGTGCAAAATTGCAAGAACAAGGGCCTAGCGTGTGCAAAATTGCTCGTTCCGAGCGGTTTTCTTCCAGCGGGTCACGTGGCTCCTTTTTTCTAGTCCTATTACCAAGCCAGCAGGGGCGTGGAAGGGTTGCGAGCATCATCGGTCATCGGTGCTCGCGAATGAAGAGCGTCCGCTGCATTTCCTGCACATGTGCGGATCCTTACGCGTTTTGGGGCTGGAAGCGCTCGTTCCGAGCGTTTGTCTTCCGCCGGGTCACGTGGCTCCACTTTTCTAGTCCTATTACCAAGCCAACAAGCGCGTGGGAGGGTTTCGAGCATCATCCGTCATCGGCGCTCGCGAATGAAGAGTGTCCGCTGCACTTCCTGTACATGTGCGGATCCTTCCGCGTTTTGGGGTGGTAGTGCTCGTTCCGAGCGTTTTTCTTCCGCCGAGTCACGTGGCTGCGCTTGTCTGGGCCTTTTACCAAGCCAGCAAGGGTGTGATAGGGTTGCGAGCATCATCGGTCATCGACGCCCGTGAATGAAGAGCGTCTGCTGCACTTCCTTCACATGTGCGGATCCTTCCGTGGTTTGGGGTTGGAAGCGCTCGTTCCGAGCGTTTTTCTTCCGCCGGGTCACGTTGCTGCGTGTGAGAGTACGACGGCTTTGCTGGACTTTACTTGCTTGATTCTGCTTTAGCTTTAGCTTGATATTGCATGCATGTGCTTGATTTCCTAGGTTCGTTGAATCACTCTATTTATTATAGTTATAGGCACTGAACTAGGTTGAGTCCACCGAATTCTAGGCTTTTCGGTTGCCACCGGATTTTCGGGACGCTTCGCGACCCACGGTACCTACTAGTAATACCTTGGGCTACTGCCTTTGTGTCGAGCCTATATATAGCCTCGCATCGTACCCCCGTGAAACATTCAGTAGATTTCTCTTTCCTGATCTAGATCCTCACACTTGGTAATCAGAGCGGGTTTACACGTGTCAGAACTTTATAGCTTATGCTATTGTGTAGGCTATAGTGGGGTATCCCATAGGGGGTACAACCCAATTAGGGTTTCCTATTTGTACTCACTTCATTCATAGTTCATTCATTCTCGTTCTAACTTTCTCATGGTATCGAGCAGGTTCCCTCGTGGGAACTGTTCCTAGGGCCCACCGTCCTTTTCTTTCCTGCTCGGAGCGCACTCTGCCCCTGCCTGAGTTGTGCTCCCCTCGTTCCTTTTTTTTTTTTTCGGCCCCTAGTGGCCCCCCCTTTAGCCGCCCGTCCCGGCCCTTAGACGCACGCGCGCCGCCCGTCCCGGCCCCTAGACGCCCGCGCGCCGCCCGTCCCGGCCTCTAGACGCCCGCGCGCCACCCGTCCCGGCCCCTAGACGCCCGCGCGCCGCCGTCTCGGCCCCTAGACGCCCGCGCGCCCGCCTGTCCCGGCCCCTAGACGCCCGCGCGCCGCGGTCTCGGCCTCTAGACGCCCGCGCGCCCGCCCGTCCCAGCCCTTATCCGCCCGCGCGCCCGCCGTCCCGGCCCCTCGACGCCCGCGCGCCTGCCCGTCCCGGCCCCTAGACGCCCGTGCGCCTGCCCGTCCCGGCCCTTAGACGCCCGCGCGCCCGCCGTCTTGACCCCTAGACGCCCGCGCGCCCGCCCGTCCCGGCCCCTAGACGCCCGCGCGCCCGCCGTTTCGGCCCCTAGACGCCCGCGCGCCCGCCCGTCCCGGCCCTTAGACGCCCGCGCGCCCGCCGTCTCGGCCCCTAGACGCCCACGCGCCACCCGTCCCGGCCCTTAGACGCCCGTGCGCCACCTCGTCCCAGCCCCTCGACGCCCGTGCACCACCCGTCCCGGCCCCTAGACGTCTGCGCGCCGCCCGTTCCGGCTCCTCGACGCCCGTGCGCCGCCTGTCCAGGCCGCGCACCGCCGTCCTGGTCCCACGCCGCCCATACGCCGACCGTCCCGGCCCCGTGCCGCCGTCCCGGCCTCACGCCGCCCGTGCGCCGCCCGTGCCCCGGCCCGTCGCCGCCCGTGTCCCGGCTCTTCGCCGCTCGTACGCCGCCTGTCCCTGCTCGTCGCCTGCTGCATCGCCGAGCCGCCTCCCCACTGAGCAGCCGAGCCGCAGCCGAGCCACCGAGCAGCCCAGCAGCCGAGCCGCCGAGCAGCCCAGCAGCCGAGTCGCCGAGTGTTCGAGCCGCCCCTTCTTCCGAGCCGCCCGGCCTACACAGTCCGGTGAGCACAGCTACTTCTGTCACTGCACTGCCCCCCACCCTACTGCTTGCACCACTGGTCGTCTAGGGTCATGGCTACTCCTAGTGTCCTCGCCTTTGAAGCTGAGGGTGGGGCCATTGACTTTGAGGTCTGGCTAGATGACCTGCAGCTATTCTTACAGTGCGATAGGGCAGACAGTCTCTCTCTCTTTGACCTCACCTCTGGCACTGCCCCTGCCCCTGCTGCTGATGCTGACGCCACTGTTCGCTCCTAGTGGGCCACGCGCGACGGTGCTGCACGTATTGCTGTGCGTCGCCACCTCCCTACCTCTGAGCGTGCGCACTTTAGTCAGTACAAGAGTGCTCAGACCTTGTACGACGCTGTAGTTGCGCGCTACTCCTCCCCTGCCACTGCTGCACTGAGCCGTCTCATGCTACCATCCCTCTTCCCTGACCTTGCTGCTTTTCCCACTGTCGCTGACCTCATTACGCACCTCCGCACTAGTGACACTCGCTACCGCGCTGCACTCCCTGCTGACTTCTGCGCCAAGAACCCCCCCCCATGTACATCACCCTCTACTACATAGTCACTCGTCTCCCTGACTCCCTTCGCGTAGTCAGGGACCACTTCCTCTCAGTCTGTCCCACCACTCTCACTGTCGACCTCCTCGAGAAATCCCTACTAGCGGCCGAGAAGGGCATTGTCGCTGTAAGGGCCTCTCGTGGTGACCCGCGCACCCCCATCTTTGAGGGGTGTTCCCCTTCCCCCCTTCTGCCCTCTGTTGCCTCTGCTGCTGCGGCCGACCTCCTTGGTCTTGAGTCGGTCGGTGCGACATCTCCCCCTAGCGGGAGACGCCGCCCTGGCAAGGGCAAGGGGGGCAAGGGCACTGGAAGAGCGAGCGGGGGCGATGGAGGTGGAGGTGGCGGCAGTGGGGGGAGTGGGGGTGGCGGTGGGGGTGGAGGTGGGGGTGGAGGGGTCAGTGGCGGCAGTGGTGGCGGAGGTGGCGGCGGTGGCGGCGGTGGAGGCGGCGGTGGAGGCGGTGGCGGCGGTGGAGGTGGTGGCGGAGGCGGCAGCGGTAGCGGAGGCGGCGGAGGCGGCGGAGGCGGCAGAGGCGGCGGTGGAGCTGGTCGCGGGTCTTCGCAGAGGAGTGGCTCCGGTGGTGCCACTCGCCAGCAGCAGCAGCGCGGTCGTGAGGGCCTGTCCCCTCAGCAGCTCCGTGAGTGGTACACGCAGCGTCAGCGTGGTGGGAGCTTTGGTCCCTGCACCTACGTCCTTCGCACCGGCGACCGCGCGGGTGAGTAGTGCGGGGGTGCCCACACCGCCCAGCGCTGCTTTGGCCGCCTGACGGACGCTTGGCGTCAGCAGTTCCCGGAGGCCAGTGAGATCCCTCGTTGGGGAGAGCTGTCTAGGGCAGGAGTAGCTATCCTTGATCTTGACTTTGATGCTATCCTTGCTGCAATGTATGCTGTGACTATTAGTGATGACGGTGACTGTTACCGGTGTTTCCCGCCCGACCCGGGCATTGGTACTGCTGCTCCAGGTGCCGGTGAGGCTGCTCCTCTAGGTGCCAGTGCGTCTGCGCCCTCAGGTACTAGTGAGTCTGCGCTCTCAGGTACTACGTCGGCTTCGGCCTCCCTCACCTTCACCCTTGACTCTGGGGCTTCTCGCTCCTTCTTTCGGGACCGCACCACACTCACGCCGCTTAGTCGGCCGGTTGCGGTGTCTCTAGCTGACCCCTCTGGGGGTCCTGTCCTGTCGCGCTTCTCTACAGTCCTCCCGTGTCCGGCGGCTCCCTCTGGCACCCTGTCTGGTCTCTACCTCCCCTCGTTCTCTACGAACCTGGTGAGTGGTGCTGACCTACAGGATGCGGGTGTCCACCAGTTCACTCCTGCGCGCCAGCGGGTGACGCACTGCACCGACGGTCGCACAGGCCGACACCTGTCTACGTTTACCCGTCAGCCGAGGTCGAGCCTGTACACACTGACCACTGCGTCTCCTCCCGTTGCTGCGTCTGGTAGGGTAGCTGCGTCGGGTCAGGTGTTTGCTGCAGCGTCCAGGTCTGGTCCTGAGTCTGCCCCCTGTTCGTGTCGTCTCCTGTCTCACGAGACTCTCCTCTGGCACCACCGTCTTGGTCACCCCTCTCTGCTTCGGCTCAGAGGCATGGCCTCCCGTCTTCTTGTGTCTGGTCTGCCCCGGTCCCTCCCTCCCCTTCCTCAGGGCCCTGGCCCTGCCTGTGTCCCTTGTGTCGAGGGGCGCCAGCGTGCTGCCCCTCACTCCTCCCAGTTTCCTCCGACAGAGGCCCCGTTGCAAACGCTTCAAATGGACGTGTGGGGCCCAGCCCGCGTCCGTGGACAGGGTCACGAGCGCTACTTCCTGCTCGTTGTTGACGACTACTGGCGTTACACCACAGTCTTCCCCTTGCGCAGCAAGGGTGATTTCACTGAGGTGCTGATCGACTGGATCCGCGCAGCTCGTCTCCAGCTCAGGCAGAGCTTTGGCTCGGACTTTCCTGTTCTGCGTCTGCACTCGGACAGAGGCGGAGAGTTTTCCTCTGGTCTTCTGCGAGCCTGCTGTCGTGCACGAGGCATCCGTCAGACCTTCACGCTTTCGGACTCACCGCAGCAAAATGGGATTGCTGAGCGCCGCATTGGCATGGTCATGGACGTCGCTCGTACGTCCATGATGCATGCGGCTGCCCCCCATTTTTTGTGGCCGTTTGCGGTCAGGTACGCGGCGCATCAGATCAACCTTCACCCCAGGGTCTCCATGCCGGAGACCTCCCCAGCCCTGCTGTGGACGGGGAAGGTTGGCGATGCGTCGGCGTTCCGGGTCTGGGGATCTCGGGCGTTTGTCCGCGACTTGTCTGCGGACAAGCTGTCCCCTCGTGCTACTCCTTGCGTCTTCCTGGGGCTCCCCCCTGACGCGCCTGGGTGGCAGTTCTACCACCCCACCTCTCGCCGTGTTCTGTCCTCCCAGGACGTCACGTTCGACGAGTCGGTCCCCTACTACCGCCTCTTCCCCTACCGCACTCCGTCCCTCCCCCCGCCCCCGCTCTTCCTTGTACCAGGTCCCCCCCCGGTCGACCCCCTCCCCCCTCAGGGTCCTGCCCCTTCAGGTGTGTCCCAGGTAGACGCAGTCGAGCCTGTCGAGGTTACTGGTAACTCTGGTACTGCTGAGGGTGCTGAGCCTGGGGGTGCTGTGACTGGGGGTGCTGAGACTGGGGGTGCTGAGCCTGGGGGTGCTGCGACTGGGGGTGCTGAGCTTGGGGGTACTGCGACTGGGGGTGCTGAGCCTGGTGGTGCTGAGCCTGGTGGTGCTGAGCCTAGGGGTGCTACGACTGGGGGTGCTGAGCCTGAGGGTGCTGAGCCTGGGGGTGCTGCGACTACGGGTGCTGAGCCTGGAGGTGCTACGCCTGGAGGTCCTCCGGGGGCTTCGTCTCGCCGGGAGCCACTTTCTCCCCCGGAGCTGCGCGAGTGGTTTGCACGGCGCTGGAGGCGTGCTGCTGGAGCAGGAGTTTCTTCGACTGCTGTGGGTGCTGGTGCCGCGGGTCCCGGAGGTGCTTGTGCTGGGAGTACTGGAGCTGCTGGGCCTGCGGGTTCGACTGGAGCTGGTGCTGCTGCGGGCGTTGGTGCTGAGCCTCCTTCCCGCGGTCCTGCTGGGGGTACTACTGGTGCTGCTGGAGGTTCTGGAGCTGCTGGAGGTGCTGCTGGAGCGGGTGCTCCTTCTGGGGTACTGGTGCTGTCCCTGCTGTGTCTGGCGTCGCCGCGCGGCCTCGACCGTACTTTGTTCCACTCCTGCAGCAGGTTCTTGGTCTTCCACCTTCTACGGGTCCTCCTCCTTCTTTAGAGTGTCCACAGCCTGTCCAGTCACAGCTACACTTACAGCCTGCCTCCCCTCTCCCTGCTCCCTCTCCCTACACTGGTCCTACTGGAGGTCTTGCTGAGCGTCGTGAGCCCGCGTCTCGTCCTGCGTCGCCTGTTCGTGCTGCTCGCCCTAGTGGTCGCGGCTCGCGTCAGCGTCCTCCTCCTGTCCCTGGCACGCACCAGATGTCTCTGCGTCCGTCCACTGCTCCTCTGCGTGCCCCTTTACCTTCTCCTCCTGCGTCCTCTCTTCCTTCTCTTGCCGACCCGGAGTCGGACTCTCTTCGTGCTGTCCGTCCTACTGTCACGCGCCTCCTTGCTACTGTCGTCACTAACCCTTCTTTCGAGTCCACTGCTGCGTCTGCCCTCGTTGCTGAGCTCGTCGACTTTGCTGCTCGCTGTCGTCTAGACTACGCTGCTAGTCTTCTCGCTGAGTCTGAGTCTGTCTGTCCTCCGTCCGTCGGGGGTGAGTGTGCTCTTGGCACGGACGTCCTTGAGGACAGGCAGGAGGAGTTCCAGTGCTTGGCCGTTGTTTCACCCCACCTCGTGTCCGTACTGCTTACTCCTGAGGGAGACCTGGATGCACTTGACATCCCGACTCCGCGCTCTTACGCGGAGGCGATAGAGGATCCCTACTCTTCTCAGTGGCAGGCAGCTATGGATGCAGAGATGGCGTCCTGGAAGTCCACAGGCACCTACGTTGATGCTGTCCCCCCTCCTGGGGCGAACATCGTCAGTGGCATGTGGATTTTCAGGGTGAAGCGGCCACCGGGTTCTCCGCCTGTCTTCAAGGCACGGTACGTGGCTCGTGGCTTCAGTCAGCGGCAGGGAGTTGACTACTTTCAGACCTTCTCTCCCACCCCCGAAGATGACCACTCTTCGGGTGCTACTGCACGTTGCCGCTCACCGTGACTACAAGCTGCACTCCCTCGACTTCAGCAGAGCTTTCTTGCAGGGCAGCCTGCACGAGGAGATCTGGCTGCGTCGCCCACCTGGCTTCACTGGGTCGTTCCCTCTTGGTACCCAGTGGAGCCTCCGGCGTCCAGTTTACGGTCTCCGCCAGGCGCCCCGTGACTGGCACGACACACTGAGGACTACTCTTGCGGCTCTTGGGTTTGCTCCTTCTACAGCCGACCCGTCACTGTTCCTGCGCACCGACACCTCTCTGCCGCCCTTCTACATCCTCGTGTACGTCGACGACTTGGTCTTTGCCACAGCTGACACTGCTGGACTCGCCCAAGTGAAGTCCGAGCTGCAGAAGAGACACACGTGCACAGACCTGGGGGAACTGCGCAGCTACCTTGGCTTGCAGATCACTCGAGACAGAGCACAGCGCACCATTACCCTGACTCAGTCACACATGGTGCAGCAGGTCCTTCAGCGCTTCGGCTTCACGTACTCCTCGCCTCAGGCCACTCCTCTGCCTACTCGCCACTCACTCTCAGCTCTGCCTTCGGATGAGTCCGTAGAGTCGAGTGGCCCGTATCCAGAGCTTGTTGGCTGCCTCATTTACCTGATGACCTGCACACGACCTGACCTTGCATACCCTCTTAGCATTCTCACACGCTATGTTGCTCCTGGGAGACACCGACCAGAGCACATGGCTGCAGCGAAGAGGGTGTTGCGCTACTTGTGCAGTACGTCGGGCATGGGGCTAGTGCTTGGAGGGCGCAGTCCAGTGGTCCTCACTGGGCACGCAGATGCTTCATGGGCTGACGACCAGGCTACTCAGCGGTCGTCACAGGGTTACACCTTCAACCTTGGTTCCGGCTCTGTCTCGTGGCGGGCTACTCGCTCGTCTTCTGTTCTCGGCTCCAGTTGTGAGGGTGAGATCTACGCTGGGGCCATGGCTGCACAGGAGCTTCGCTGGCTCACCTACCTGCTGACCGACCTTGGAGAGCCGCCTCGTTCTCCTCCAGTTCTGTACGTAGACAACAAGGCCATGCTGGCCTTGTGTCGAGAGCAGCGACTGGAGCACAGAACGAAGCACATTGCTCTCCGCTACTTCCTTGCTCGTGAGCTACAGCAGTGTGGTCAGTTGCGGCTTGCGTACGTGGCCTCTGAGGCCAACACTGCTGATGTTTTCACCAAGGCACTTGCGCCTTGTGATCATCAGCGCTTCTGTACTCAGCTTGGACTTGTTCGTGTCTTGTCTCACTTGCTCACTTCTTGACTTTGCTTGTACTGTCATATACCGTCATACCCCGGATATAAGCCCCACCCTCGGATAAGCGCCTGGCGCTTTTAATTGGCGCATGGCGCTTATATCCGCTGCTAGATTATAAGCGCACCCCCTGAAAAAAACCTGTTTTATTATAAGCGCACGTAAACTTTAATTCTTGAAATGGGTTCAAAACCCTGTAACGAATTTTACTTTAGCAAGCGGATGTCTCCAGATTCGGTTCCCTTCAAAATCGGACCCTGCACTGGATGCGGGTCCAGTCAGCAGGAGCTGTTAGGAGCTGTCAGAAGCTGTCAGAAGCTGTCAGGAGCTGTCAGATTTGGTGTATCTCCCAGTGCGCGCGAGAATTTCACAGACGACCCCATGTAACTTCGGCTCGGTTGAAAATGCAAGCACGAGAACTACAGGTTGGTGTTAAAAAATATATAAACTATATATGTCGTTTTATAAACGCCGGCGCTTATAAAGTTACCCGATTATAAGCCCACCCCCCTAAAAAAAACCTGTTTTATTATTGCCCCCCATGGGGGTATATCCGGGGTATGACGGTATATATACTCTTGCTCTTGCTTACTTAGCTTCTTATATATATGCTCCTGCATGTGAACTGGCCTTCTGGCCTTGAACTTGTGCTCAGAATGTGTGGTGACTTTGTGATCCACCCTGAGCTTTGCTTTGCTTTGCTTGACTGGTCTTGTGACCCCTTGTTCTCCCCCATTTTGCCTATGGGGGTGTGTCAGATCTTTATAGCTTATGCTATTGTGTAGGCTATAGTGGGGTATCCCATAGGGGGTACAACCCAATTAGGGTTTCCTATTTGTACTCACTTCATTCATAGTTCATTCTCAACACGCGAGGTCTTCAACCGCTTAAAACCCGCCATAACTAGCAATGGGGAGTACGGTACAAGTAACCCTAATGAGTTGTACCCTCTATGGACTATCCCACTCCAGTCTATATTATAAACATAATGTGTTTTGACAAAGAATTATGTGGAGGGATTGCTGGTAGAATAAGATGATTCTGTTAGGGTTATCCTTAATATTTGTATTTTTCCTTCCAACACGATAGCTTTGCTGTGAACGTTTGCAAAAAGTGATGTTAAGGAGATTTGACAAGAAACGGATAGATTTGAACTAGGGTTGAGGTAGTTTGAACTAGGTCCAGTTTATGAAATTCGACTAGAATATGTTATCTTTTAGATTTGCAGGTAGCATATTGCAGGTTACCGAGCCAACTTCAAGATGGCAAATTCGTCCCCTGCCCTCGGGATTGCCTGGATGCACTTCTCGCCAGCTAGGGTTTGATACACCCATCCAACTTTTAGCTCGCCAATCCATTTATGGCTGATAGACTTGGTCGGACCACAGGTCACCAGAGGTCAGACCCGTTAGGTAGAGCGATGTCTGCAAAGTCGATTAAGTTGCGGGCTCACATTGCGATGCGGCGTTTTCCTTCTGTAACTGACCATGACGCGCGCCGTGAGCGACGGTGAGGGCAGTCCGCCTCGCGTGGTGAATCGCCATCGCGGACCCGGACACCCAGGCCCGGCGGCCACCACTCCACGTGGGGGGCGTAGCCCTGCTTTCGACGACCATATGCTTTCGCCTCGAAATGCCGGGTCCAATGGGGTAGGGGGAGGGGCAGGGGGAGAAGGGGAGTACGGAGCGGGACAGCAGAGGCGGCGGGCGGGGAGCCGGCCGTTAATTCGCGTGAATGAGGGGCAGCAGATGGCGGCGCAGGTGCTGGACGCGGACGAGTACCCTGACCAGTACCCCGAGGAGTACGCGCACGAGTATCCCGAGGAGTACGCGCAGGAATACCCCCACGACTACCTTGACGCCAACGACTTCGCTTCCGACTATTTATCGCAGCGAGGGGCCGCGCGACGCGCCTCCGCCCCGTCGCCGTCCGCCGCGGGGTACCAGGCAACTGGCTTGAGCACGTCGCCGCTGCGCTCCAGCATGGGCGCGGCGCTGGGTGCGGGGATGAGCTCGGGGCACGTGCGGTCGGATGCCATTGGGGATAGCGAGGCGGACAGAGGGCGCCACGAGCGGGGCGACCCGCGACGAGGTGGCGAGGCGAAACAAGTGCGCAAGGTGCGAAGTAGGGCAGTGGGTGGGGAGCCGTCATGTAGCCCACGGCGGTGCCTCATCGGGTAGGTGTTGCGACGAACCAATTTTCTCGCGCTTGTCGATTGTCCCCTCCCCCCTCGCCAGTCAAATTTTGCTCAAATTTTCCCATTCTCATTTTCCCTCGGTTTGTCGGTTCGCGGCGCCCGATGGATTGCTCTGCGGCGCGCCCCCTAACCAAGCGACGGCGTCGTGAGGCGCAACGCGCTGCATGGACGCGTGAAGCCAAGCACCCGCCCGCCTGTGCCTCGCGTCCTTTGCGTCTCCCCCACCTCCCTCGCAACCCCTCCGTTCCCCTCTCCTGCTTGCCCCGTCGCGCAGTTCTCGTCGCTACCCAACTATGCGGGCGGCACTGACGGCGCCGCGCACTCACCGCAAGAGGTGATGAGTCCCCGCCGCGTGCCCAAGCCCGCCCGCCCCGCCATGCTCTCGGGCATGGGCATGGGGGGGGCGCCGACGGGCAGCTATCAGGCGTCGTCGCGCGGCGAGGCGGAGGTGCTGCGCGGCGTGCTGGCGCTGCTGGAGGCGGTGCGGGACGACGACGTGGCGCGCGTCAACCGCATCCTGCAGGACGCGCCGTCGCGCACCGCGCTGCTGCACTGCGCGCACCCTGGTACGCCGCGTCTCTCATCCCCCATCCTCAACGTACCCTGCCTTACTTTTCCCTCCTCACTGTTACCCTCCCTTTCTGCTCTTTTCGCACATGTTATCCACCATTCGCTCCCCCCTCCTCCACGACTCGTCTACCTCGCTGCGTCTCCTCATTCGCGTCCCACGTGCCTGGCCCATTCCCCACGCCATGCCCCCCGTGCAGGCACGGGGCGGGCGGCGCTGCACGAGGCGGTGGTGGCGGGCAGCGTGGACGCCGCTGCTGCGCTGCTGGAGTGGGGGGCCGACCCCGATGGCGGGCACGCGTCGCAGGTGGGTGGAGCAGTCGGTCCGTTCTTTCCGAGCCCCCAAAGAGCTTTCATGCGTACTTGTATTTTAAGTTCTCACTTTTCGCTGTCCTTGCCTTGCCTACCCCATTTTCTTTGCTCCCCCCACTCCCCCTTGGGCGTGGGCAGATGCCGCCCATACTGCTGGCGGTGCAGGCGGGCAGTGAGAAGGCGGTGACGCTGCTGCTGTCACACGGCGCCGACATCAACGCTCACGACGCGCAGCTCTGCACCGCGCTGCACTACGCATGCGCTGACGCCCACCGGTACCCCTCCTCCACCTCCCCCCTCGCCACACCCTGTCCCATCTCATCAGTCCCATCCTGCCTCTCACCCCTTTGCCACCTCTCCATCTCTGATGCTCCGGGTTGCAATATGACTCAATGAGCTATGTGTTTTTTATGTACCACATGTGGTGGATGTGCCACGTGTATTGCTATCATCTGCCAGTCTGTTGTTCTATTCATCACAACTCCTCAGGGGCTGGTTCGAAAACACTCTCATGCGCTATGCCCGCCTTGACCTGCTCGCATTCTGAGTCCTTGCTCCCACCTGCTGCTTCTGCCCACCCTTTTCTGGCGGCAGGGGCATGATAAAGCTGCTGCTGGTGGCGGGCGCCAACATGTATGCGCGCAACAGCGACGGGCTGCTGCCGCAGCAGCTGGCGTCCACGGACCGCATCCGAGCGCTCTTCTCCAAGCTGCACGACTACCACCACCGCCACGGCCTCCTGCCCCCCCATGCTCACCTCGCCTCCTCCGCCACGCCCGCTGCTGCCATGGCCGCGTCCCCCCCTGCCAGCCCTGGCGGCATGGACCGGCGCAGCCCGCATGAGGGGGGGCTGCTGGGGGACGACTCGTGGGACGACCAAGGTGTGCCTCCCCTTCCCTGCTCTCGCTCCACTCCCCTTCCCTGCTCTCGCTCCACTCCCCTTCCCTGCTCTCGCTCCACTCCCCTTCCCTGCTCTCGCTCCACTCCCCTTCCCTGCTCTCGCTCCACTCCCCTTCCCTGCTCTCGCTCCACTCCCCTTCCCTGCTCTCGCTCCACTCCCCTCGGGCACGAACCATCACCACTCGCTGCCGCTGCTGTGCTTCACACTGTCTCACAGCGCGTCATGCCCCGTCCCTTTGTGCCCATCCGTGCCCCGCCCTCCTCCTCACCCCCCCACCCCCTCCAGGCGTAAACGGTGTGGCGTCGCACCGAGTGGCGTCCCCACGCGCCGGCATGGCGCGCATGAGGGCCGCCGCCTCCGCTGCTGTCGAGGCCGCCACTGGGGGCGGCGCGGGCAGCATGCGCGGGCGCTTGGCGGGCGACCGGTGGGGGGGGCGCGGGGATGAGTGGGGCAGCGGGGGGGGCAGTGAGAAGGAGGCACGGCGGGGGGGACGAGGGGAGGAGGGGTATGAGAGTCCACAGGAGATGGTGGAGAGCAACGAGCAGATCTTCCAGCAGGCGTGGGAGAACGACCGCCACGACGACTCGCCCGCTCTCCCCTGGCCCTCGCCCTCGCCCCCCGCCTCCTCGCCTGCCGCCCCCTCCGCCACCACCCCGCCCAGCAGTAGCAGCAGCACGGGTGGGAGGGGCGGAGGCGCGGAAGGGGAGGAAGCAGCGCCGACGGCAGCGGTGGCGCGGCGGCAGGTGCAGATGCACGTGAGGGACGCGGCACGCACGCTGTCGGTGGAGTCGGGGGGCGCGCACTACCAGCGCCGCATCGTGGCGGCAGCAGGGGACGCCAGCAGCATGTCGGACGCCGAGGGTGGCTCTGGCCCCCGCACCCGCCACGCCCCCGCTGCCGCCTCCCTCAGCGCCGGCGCCCGCGGCGAGGTGTCCCGCCTCGCCCGCCCCCGCAACTTTGCAGACTTCCGCGCGGAGCGACTTGTGGGTGGCGGGGCAGGGGGCGCCGGGGGAGGGGGACCCAGCACCCCCAGGGGCGGGGCAGGGACGCCAAGAGGAGGGGAGGGGGGCGGGAGGGCAGGAGGGGGGGGAGGAGCCGGGGGGGCATCCACGCCCAGGAGGGTGGGCGCTGAGCGAGTGGGGTCGGATGATGACGTGGAGGAGAGGGCGGCAGGGGGAGGGGGAGGGGGAGGGGGAGGGGGGGGGGGGAGGGCAGCGAGAGAAGGGGATGGGAGGGCGCGTGGGGCCGGGGGGCAGTGGCGTGGAGAGGCGGGGGGCGTCCACCCCGCGGGCCGTGCGCGACAACCCCTATGCCTCCTGGAACGGCGGCGCCCTGCCAGACAGAGGCTCCCTGGCGGACAGGAGCGGGGGGGGGCGCGGGCAGTGGCGGGGACAGGCAGCCACACCGGTCAGTCAGCTCAGAAGAACGGCAGGGGGAGGGGATGGGGAGCGGGGGTAAGGGGGGAGGGGGGAAAGGGGCAGCGCATTTGAGGCAGGTGAGGGACAGTGGCAGTGCGGACAGTGACAGCGAGGTGGTGAGCCGGCGGTCGCGCGCCATCAAGGCTGCAGCGGGGGGCGGCCCCTCCACGCCCTCGCGCTCCCCTCCCCCCTCCGACTTCTCCCGTCGCTTCTCCTCGCTGCGCGTGGCTGATGGCGCCGGGCAGCGCGCCGGCAGCCCCGGCAGCAGTGCGGGCGGCGAGGAGGATTCGGGCAGGCGCGGGGGCGCAGGCAGTGCAGGCAGTGCGAGGCCGAGGAGTCCGCTGAGGGGCGCACAGGCAGCGCCATGTGACGACGACAGCAGCCCGCGCACCCCCACCGGTGGGCCGGCTCCCCCATCGGGTGCAACGGCTGGGGGAGGAGGCGGCAGCATCAGTGGCGGCGGCGTTGGCGGGGGGCGCATGACTCCGCGGGGGGGGCCGCGAGCGCAGGTCCGTGAAGTTCGCCGTGCCCGAGGGGGGCGACCGCGACCGCGACCGGGGCAGACCCGGGAGCAGTGGCTTGGACGAGGGAGGTGCGAGCGAGGGCAGGGGGAAAGGCAAGGACGCAAGCGAGAGGGCTGAGAGAAAGGAGCGCAGCGATCGCAAGTGCCAGTCGTTTGTGCCGCCGTCGTCAGCTGGTGCTGGCAGGAAGATGGGTGCGGCATCGGTGTCCGAGGAGGACCTGAAGCTCATCCGCGCCGACTGGCGGGATGACGCTGCCAGGAACGGGTGTGTGGCGTGCGGGCAGGTGCAGTGCGAGTGCAAGACCCGGCCCGAGAACAGAGGTGCTGCGCCGAAGTCAGGCATGGGGGATGATGTAAAGGCGGGAGGGAGCAAGGAGGGCAAGGAGAAAGGCGGGGGGAAGGAGCAGGAGAAGCAGGATAAGGCGGGGCAGAAAGAGGCAGGGGGGCAGGGTGGGGAGGAGGAGGAGGACGAGGCGTTGCCGGAGGAGCTGCTGCAGGACGACCCCGAGGTGTCCCCGCTGGGCACCATGAAGTGGAAGCGCGGCGAACTGCTGGGTGAAGGCGCGTACGGCAAGGTGAGCTGCTGGGTGAAGGCGCGTACGGCAAGGTGAGCTGCTGGGTGAAGGGGCGTACGGCAAGGTGAGCTGCTGGGTGAAGGGGCGTACGGCAAGGTGAGCTGCTGGGTGAAGGCGCGTACGGCAAGGTGAGCTGCTGGGTGAAGGCGCGTACGGCAAGGTGAGCTGCTGGGTGAAGGCGCGTACGGCAAGGTGAGCTGCTGGGTGAAGGCGCGTACGGCAAGGTGAGCTGCTGGGTGAAGGGGCGTATGGCAAGGTGAGCTGCTGGGTGAAGGCGCGTACGGCAAGGTGAGCTGCTAGGTGAAGGCGCGTACGGCAAGGTGAGCTGCTGGGTGAAGGCGCGTACGGCAAGGTGAGCTGCTGGGTGAAGGCGCGTACGGCAAGGTGAGCTGCTGGGTGAAGGGGCGTACGGCAAGGTGAGCTGCTGGGTGAAGGGGCGTACGGCAAGGTGAGCTGCTGGGTGAAGGGGCGTACGGCAAGGTGAGCTGCTGGGCGAAGGGGCGTACGGCAAGGTGAGCTGCTGGTGAAGGGGCGTACAGCAAGGTGAGCTGCTGGGTGAAGGGGCGTACGGCAAGGTGAGCTGCTGGTGAAGGGGCGTACGGCAAGGTGAGCTGCTGGGTGAAGGGGCGTACGGCAAGGTGAGCTGCTGGGTGAAGGGGCGTACGGCAAGGTGAGCTGCTGGTGAAGGGGCGTACGGCAAGGTGAGCTGCTGGGTGAAGGCGCATACGGCAAGGTGAGCTGCTGGGTGAAGGCGCGTACAGCAAGGTGAGCTGCTGGGTGAAGGGGCGTACGGCAAGGTGAGCTGCTGGGTGAAGGCGCGTACGGCAACGTGAGCTGCTGGGTGAAGGCGCGTACGGCAAGGTGAGCTGCTGGGTGAAGGGGCGTACGGCAAGGTGAGCTGCTGGGTGAAGGCGCGTACGGCAAGGTGAGCTGCTGGGTGAAGGCGCGTACGGCAAGGTGAGCTGCTGGGTGAAGGCGCGTACGGCAAGGTGAGCTGCTGGGTGAAGGCGCGTACGGCAAGGTGAGCTGCTAGGTGAAGGCGCGTACGGCAAGGTGAGCTGCTGGGTGAAGGCGCGTACGGCAACGTGAGCTGCTGGGTGAAGGCGCGTACGGCAAGGTGAGCTGCTGGGTGAAGGCGCGTACGGCAAGGTGAGCTGCTGGGTGAAGGCGCGTACGGCAAGGTGACCTGCTGGGTAAAGGCGCGTACGGCAAGGTGAGCTGCTGGGTGAAGGCGCGTACGGCAAGGTGAGCTGCTGGGTGAAGGCGCGTACGGCAAGGTGAGCTGCTGGGTGAAGGCGCGTACGGCAAGGTGAGCTGCTGGGTGAAGGGGCGTACGGCAAGGTGAGCTGCTGGGTGAAGGCGCGTACGGCAAGGTGAGCTGCTGGGTGAAGGCGCGTACGGCAAGGTGAGCTGCTGGGTGAAGGCGCGTACGGCAAGGTGAGCTGCTGGGTGAAGGCGCGTACGGCAAGGTGAGCTGCTAGGTGAAGGCGCGTACGGCAAGGTGAGCTGCTGGGTGAAGGCGCGTACGGCAAGGTGAGCTGCTGGGTGAAGGCGCGTACGGCAAGGTGAGCTGCTGGGTGAAGGGGCGTACGGCAAGGTGAGCTGCTGGGTGAAGGCGCGTACGGCAAGGTGAGCTGCTGGGTGAAGGCGCGTACGGCAAGGTGAGCTGCTGGGTGAAGGCGCGTACGGCAAGGTGAGCTGCTGGGTGAAGGCGCGTACGGCAAGGTGAGCTGCTAGGTGAAGGCGCGTACGGCAAGGTGAGCTGCTGGGTGAAGGCGCGTACGGCAACGTGAGCTGCTGGGTGAAGGCGCGTACGGCAAGGTGAGCTGCTGGGTGAAGGCGCGTACGGCAAGGTGAGCTGCTGGGTGAAGGGGCGTACGGCAAGGTGAGCTGCTGGGTGAAGGCGCGTATGGCAAGGTGAGCTGCTGGGTGAAGGGGCGTACGGCAAGGTGAGCTGCTGGGTGAAGGGGCGTACGGCAAGGTGAGCTGCTGGGCGAAGGCGGTTACGGCAAGGTGAGCTGCTGGGTGAAGGGGCGTACGGCAAGGTGAGCTGCTGGGTGAAGGGGCGTACGGCAAGGTGAGCTGCTGGGTGAAGGCGCGTACGGCAAGGTGAGCTGCTGGGCGAAGGCGGTTACGGCAAGGTGAGCTGCTGGGTGAAGGGGCGTACGGCAAGGTGAGCTGCTGGGTGAAGGGGCGTACGGCAAGGTGAGCTGCTGGTGAAGGGGCGTACGGCAAGGTGAGCTGCTGGTGAAGGGGCGTACGGCAAGGTGAGCTGCTGGGTGAAGGGCGTACGGCAAGGTGAGCTGCTGGTGAAGGGGCGTACGGCAACGTTAGCTGCTGGTGAAGGGGCGTACGGCAAGGTGAGCTGCTGGTGAAGGCGCGTACGGCAAGGTGAGCTGCTGGGTGAAGGGGTGTACGGCAAGGTGATCTGCTGGGTGAAGGGGCGTACGGCAAGGTGAGCTGCTGGTGAAGGGGCGTACGGCAAGGTGAGCTGCTGGGTGAAGGGGCGTACGGCAAGGTGAGCTGCTGGTGAAGGGGCGTACGGCAAGGTGAGCTGCTTGGTGAAGGCGCATACGGCTATGTTAGGAAAGACGCAGCCAGGACGCTGCGTCCTGCGTCTGGACGCAGCGTCCGGACGCTAGGACGCAGGACGCACGGTGAAAAAAAATTCGGGCAGCCCGAAAAAAAAAAAGTTTTCCGCGATTTCGACATTCGCGATCTCGGCGCGAATGTCGAAATCCCGAAATTTCGACCCCCAAAGCCCAATGCGCCATTGTAAACCAGCCCCCCCCAACATTTCATAACAACTCATGCAAATTGAGAATTCACTCACAACCCATGCGTGACGCGTGACTCACCTTAGTAAAAAATTTTGGGGGAAAAAATTGAGGTTGGGGTAAAAATTGCATTGAAAAGTGTGGTACGTCCCCCCCCCTCCCCTCTGCCAAGACCTAAACACTTTTTTTGGGCCTGCCCGGGGGTTTTTTTTGCCCTGCCCGAGATTGCGTCTTTTGGTGCGTCTTACAGGTCCAGGTGACGCGTCCTGCGTCTGGACGCATTCGTCCAGGACGCAGGACGCGTCTTTCCTAACATAGGCATACGGCAAGGTGAGCTGCTGGGTGAAGGCGCGTACAGCAAGGTGGACCACGCCGCGCCATCACGCTGCTTCCCACCTGCCGCTCCACACTGCCGCGTTTTTTCCCCCCTTGCCACCTCCCCCCATTCCCGTTGCGTTCTCTCATGCTCCTGCCTCACTCCTTCCCCCTCCCGTCATCCCCACACCCCCCGTGGGGCGGGGCAGGTGTTTCTGGGGCTGAACGAGCGCACGGGCGAGCTGATGGCGGTGAAGCAGATGAAGATCAACGCGGGCGACGAGCGCGCCATGCACATCGCAGCCTTGGAGCGCGAGATCGTGCTGTACCGCCGCATGCGGCACCGCCACATAGTGGGGTACATCGACATGGAGAAGGACCCCTCCGACGGCTCCATCTACATCTTCCTCGAATTCGTCTCCGGCGGCTCCATCCACAGGTGGGCTTTAAGAGAAGGACTCCATCGACAGGTGGGCTTTAAGAGAAGGACTCCATCCACAGGTGGGCTTTAAGAGGGCGGCTCCATCCACAGGTGGGCTTTAAGAGAAGGACTCCATCCACAGGTGGGCTTTAAGAGGGCGGCTCCATCCACAGGTGGGCTTTAAGAGAAGGACTCCATCCACAGGTGGGCTTTAAGAGGGCGGCTCCATCCACAGGTGGGCTTTAAGAGAAGGACTCCATCCACAGGTGGGCTTTAAGAGGGTGGCTCCATCCACAGGTTGGCTTTAAGAGGGCGGCTGCATCCACAAGTGGGCTTTAAGAAGGGGGCTCCATTCACAGGTGGGGCTGCATCTTGTATCTGTGTGCATCTCCAGTGCTCCTTTATGTATCACTGCGCATCCTCACTTCTCCTGTCCTATCCTCTCCCGTCCCCCTGTCCCGTGTGTGCCGCGGCATCATCGCTGGAGCGTGGCAGCATGTTGGAGAAGTTTGGCAAGTTCAGCGAGTCGCTGGTGCGCGTGTACACGCGCCAGCTGCTGCTGGGCTTGGAGTATCTGCACCGCTGCAAGATCATCCACCGCGACATCAAGGGCGGCAACGTGCTCGTGGACCGCGATGGGGTCATCAAGCTCGCTGACTTTGGGGCCTCCAAGGTGTGCGCCTCTCCCCACCACCCACATCGACTCCTGCATGCGTGCTCTCTTCTACCCATCATCTGTGGTTTGTGCCTGCCTTCAATATGTTCCACGGCGTACCCTCTTCCGTTTCTCACAACAGTCTGCACTATCCACTACCATTTCCGCTCAAGTCTTATCCTTCTTCCTCTCCCCACACCCCCCCTTCTCCCCTGCGTGCAGGCGTTTCAGGAGGGGACGGTGGGCGAGGGGTGCAAGTCGATCCGCGGGTCGGTGTTCTGGATGGCACCCGAGGTGATCACGGGTGCGGGGTACGGCCGCAAGGCAGACATCTGGAGCCTCGGCTGCACCGTCATTGAGATGCTCACCGGCAGGTCAGGGCTGCACCGTCATTGAAGGTGACAATGGCAATGGGTTGTGAGGGGGCGACACTCTGCTGAATGGGTGTGTGTGCCGCCCGCACGCAACCAGCATCCGAGTCCAAGGGAGCGCCCGGTGGAGCCATGTGCAGCGCGTGCATGGAGCTGGATCACTGCTGACCTGGGAGTTTGAGCTCTCTGCATGCACAATGTGCTTCTTTTGTGTGATGCTTGTGGTGGAAGGTGTGTGATTGTGTGCCACCCTCAACCCGTATGCCTGTGCGCCACTCTCATCCTGTCCCTGTGCACGGCATGGCACATGCATGCATGCCTCTGTCTCCCCTGCCCCGGTGCAGCCACCCATGGCCGGGCATGGACAACACGTGGTCGGCCATATTCCACATAGCCAAGACCACCACGGGCCCGCCCACCCCCGAGGAGAGCAGTGAGGAGGGCCGTGACTTCCTCGCTGCCTGCTTCCAGCTCGACCCCGCCCTCCGCCCCTCCGCCGCCCAGGTCAGTGCCTCTGCTGCCCAGGTGGGTGCTTCTGTTACTCGGGTGTGCCTTGCACCTGAAAGGCGTTAGAGAATGTACAAGTGCGTGTGTTGTAACAAGGCTGTTGCTGCAGGGCGTGCTGCTGGTGTGCCTCATGTCTGCTGGTGTGCCTCATGCCTCACAAAGTTGCACCACGCATTGCCACACAGTTGCCTGGGGCAGGCTTGGGACACCAGATGCACCCCCAATCTATTCATTCCTTTCTCAAGCCTGCCCTGAAACAGCAAGCTAGCTCCATCATCACCCCTCCTCACTAGCCATCCGCCGCTTCTATTCCCCCTCTGCTGTGGTGCAGCTGCTGCAGCATCCCTTTGTGCAGGTGCCCGACACGCCCCGGGATGCACGCATGGCCGGCTTCGGATGACCACCCTCCCTCCCCCCGTCCGTGCTCTCTCAGCACTGCCTCGTGTGCTTCACGCCTAACCTAACATTGCTGTTTGAGTGCACCATATCTATCGGGTGTGTTATGCTAAATCAAAGTGCAGTGTTTTCATGGTCATGCAGCAAAGGTTGTAGGAATGCATGTGTAAAATAAGCAGTGGTATATTGAGAGCTTGCTAGTCCGCAGCGTGAAGGCATCAAGGCTCCATAGTACTGACTGAAGACAACATGATGGCATGTCGTCACGGGCACGAGTACAATTGTCACAAGTACCGTACATGCTCCTCTACAACCCTATGTCTGCATTTTCCACTGCCTACACACATGCCTCCTTCCTTTGCCTTTCTCTCTGCCGCTTGCACCTCCACCCCGTGTCTGCCCATGCACCTGCCCCAGCCACCACCACTGCAGGTCCATTAGCCCTTGGCTTGCCTGCCTCCCCCACCCCACATGCTCGTCACTGCAATGGCTGCAGCCTGCAGAGCATGTGCACGCTACAACCCCCTTCCATGCGTGCCCCTCAACGCACCGTGTGCTCATGAGGTCCGTACGTACACCCACGTGCCGCCCCCAGTCCCTCCCATCTCCTGCCAGCTTCACCTGTTGAAGCCCCTGTGCCCACCTCACACTCTGCACTCCTCCACTCCCCGCCCCTCATCCGTGCACCAAAGGCATCCCTCGCTCCCCACCACGGTCTTTAGTGACGGGCACCAAGCACACACACACACACTCTCACTCTCACTCGCACTCGGACTCGCTGCAGCAGCCGGCATGCTGGTGCCAGGGGGCTCCGGAGGGCACGCCAGCCACGCGTCCACTAGAGCCTCTGACGCGTCCTCTCCGCCCGCTACCCTGCTCTCCGCACGTGCACCCATAGCAGCAGCGGCAGCTGGGACCTGGAGCGTGCTGATTGGCTCGTCCAGCACGTCACTGCCGTTGTTGCTGTCATCGCCCCCCTCTCCGCCCTGCCCTGCTGTCACCGTCCCACACGCCTGCCCTCGCCCTGCCCGCCCCTCCTTGCTGTCTTCCTCCGCCTGCCCCAACTGCGCAGCCCTCCTCTCCGCCAGCTGCTGCAGCACCCTCGCGATTGTTCCCGCCTTCTCATCTGCGTCACCCCGCCCTGCTGCGCCCATCCCCACCCACCTGGGATGCGCACTGCGATGTGCGCGCGCCACCTGTGCCAAGCAGTGGGGGAACGCTGCAAGTGGCGGGGAGTGAGGCGGGGGAATGGGGGGGACGACGGCCTGCTGTGGAGCGGCGGAGGTGGAGGCGGCGGAGCAGGTGGCGTGGCGCGGGTATTCGCAGTCGAGGGCAGAGCAGGGGGGCGGATCCAATGGCTCCGATGACTCCGCGCGCAGCGCTGGCGCGACTGGCGCCACTCCCGCCGTTCCCTCGCTTCCCCACCGTCGCTGCTGGATTTTTTTTAACGCCTCGACCACCCCCGGCTGCGCTACGCCCGCGCGTTCCCAGCCGCGGCTAGCAGGCTGAAGGGAGGCGGCTGAAGGGAAGGCAAACACGAGGGCGTGGGGGAGCGGAGGGCAGCGGGCGGCAAGGTGACACGGGGGGCCCAGGGGCTCGCGAGCGAGCCGCACGGCATCCAGCGCCGCAGCTGCGGGGGGGTCGGCCGTTGGAAGGCCGTCCGCGCGACGAGTCGAGGCGCGCCGCGCAGCACCGGCTGAGCCGCTCACTACCTGCTGCGCGGCAGAGGCGGAACCAAGTGCGGCCAGTGAGTCGATCCGCGCGCGCCCCTTCTTAAGGTCGTCTATGCGGGTCCTGCGGTTCAACTGGTTGTCGGAGCTGGTGCCCGCGCTCGTCGTAGTGTCGCAGTGAATCTGCCCTCGTGTCCCTGCAGGGTTCTTCGAGCGAATTAGTTGCGTCAGAGCGTCTGCCACGGTTCCATTGTTCCGGGGCGCTGTCGCGGGAGAATGGTTGAGCATGCGGCTCGCGGGGTCCTCGCATCGTGTCAGCCTCCTTCGCTTCGCAGCGGGTGCGGCTGCTAACGAGCTCCGCAAGCTCGTCGCGGCGGCAGGACGAGCTCCGCCAGCGAGCGGAGCTGGAGGGCTGCGCTCATGGCTGGCGCGGCCCGGCGGGCACTTGGAGACGCGCTTGAACGTGAAATGCGAGAGGCGGGTGGGCCCCTGACACATGATGGCGGTTGCTGAAACGAAACCCTGGCGCAATGTCGCGCGCGTGTGAAACGAATGGTGTCGTGCACTATGGCGAGATGCAATGCTAGAATGGCGGTTCGATGAACGGAGCTGAGCCTCAGGAACAAGCATGTTGCTAGTAGATGTTGAATGACTAAAGAAATTTACAACTGGACTGGACGTGCTGAAATGGTAGATCGTCTGGGACAGGTGGGGGGAGGGAAGGACTGAGGAGGGTGGGGGTTGGGGCAGATACATCCAAGGGAGTCACGGTGGGGGCGGAGGAGTACGTGCGGGCGATGGGGCAGTGAGATGGAGGGAGCGCGCGAGCGAGGTGGATTGCCGACAAGACGAGGTGGAATCCGCCTGACTTGCCTCGCTGGCACTATTCCCCGCCACGTTGCTTTCGACATGGCGTGTTGCATTGGTCAGTCGAGTGCGAAGTCAGCAAAGCACGAGCAAATCACGGTGTTCACAACGCAGGCGCCTCGCAAGTCACTCCCACCATTCTTTTTGTTATGTTACGTGTTTAATGAATGTGCTAATTAGGGCGTGTCCAGAGAGTACGTCTGAATGCGGTTGAACAGGGTTTGACGCTGATCCAGAAAGTTCTATTTGACGAACAAAGTGGTTGGGTAGGGTTTTCGGCGAATACGTACATTCTTGGACCCGCCCTTAAGATGGCACTATATAGGCAAGGAAATACAAGTGGGACCTCATGTGTTACTCCACTACCATGATTACAAAGGTGAGTATGAGACATGGGAATTCTATGCGCTGAGATTGGCATGTTGTGGAGCAGTGGGAGGATGGGTGGGAAGATGGGGGAGAAGAGAAAAGAAGGGGAATCACAGAGATCATCAGCACGGATTTGGGGGTTGGATGTATGGATGGTGACATGGGTGAGAGTCAAGCATGGGCCTTCTATGCGCTGAATGTGGCTTGGTGAGAGGGAAGAGGGAAAGGGGAGAAGAGGAAAGAAGGGGAATGATCGCAACAATGGTAGAGTCAAGGGTTAAATTGGAGATTGTTGCCAACGTACACGTTATATTGATATGGACTATTGTAGGCTAGGTTGAGGTGGCCTATAAAGGGTACATAATCACATACAGTATATCCCCGAGTATATTCTCATTCTACTCATTCCATTCCTTCGTTAACATGGTATTAGAGACGCGCACCAGGGCGCGACATGGCGTGCAGTCCGAGCGTCGCATGTGCGGCAAGTGCGCGGGAGGACACGTAGCTGGCGCAGCAAGCGTGATGGTGGTAGGCACTGGCACGGCGGTTAGGAGGCGAGGGCGCAGTAGGAGCAGGCAGCGGCAGCTCGAGCGCGGCAGGAGCGGCAGGCTTACAGCAGCAGGGCCGACTGGCCGACGCGGCAGCATGCTGACAAGGGAGCGAGGCAACAGCGGTGGGGCGTGGAGGTGCGCCTTATGTGACGACCCCTTTGTCGCAGCCGCTGCCGCAGTCTCTGCCGTCACCGACGTCGTCCTCGCAGTCGTGGGCAGCAGCCATTGCTGCCAACACGAGTCTCTGTGGATCCTGGGGGTGGTGGTTCTGGGGGTGCTACCACAGGGGGTACCTGTTTTGGGGCAGCCGCCGCCGCAGCAGCAACCGCTGTCACCGCCTGTATCTACACTTGAGCTTCTTCGCATGTTTTACCCTTTCGACTGGCCGACCTCCTGCTCCCCCCTCACCATCTCTTCCAGTCTACGGTCCCATGCTTCTTTCTCCGAACTTGTCTCCTTCTCATCTTCGTCTCCGTTCAAAACTGTCTCCTCTTCTATCTCCTGGCCAGTCTCCGGCCTCCCACACCTGTGTCCATCGTCCCTCTCGAGCTTGACATGTATCTCCTCTTGCCGAGCTCCTCTCTATGCTCCTCTGTTCTTGTCCTCTTCATGATCCGCCGCATCATGGACCCCGTCGCCTCTGTTAACGAGAGTTGGCCCCGTCCTTGCTTGGGCGGAGCCGACTTCGTGGTCGGGTGTGCGGTAGGTGCAGCCGACCGTCTGCAGTGGGCGACGCCGACTTGGACGAGCAGGTCGACGAAGTTGGTCGACTTGCACGGGGCCACTGCGAAGCCGCCGACGATAGGAAGTCGGCGGCCGACTTTGATTTGGTGGTCGACGAAGGACCTGCGAAGTAGGTGCGAAAATTGTGCGCTGCAGTCACCTGCGGATGCAACGTTGGACCCCCGCCTTGCCGTAGCGTTGGCAAGCCGCCGACTTGCTATGTTGGCAAGCCGCCACTCTGCAGCCTTGGAGCGGTGCGGACTTGCAATTACGACAGGTCGCCGACTTTGATGCACTGGAGGTCAACGTGCCTGTGTGCTAGGAAACCTTGCACCTGATGTAGTCAGTTTTGCCATTGTTTCTGCTATCCTTATGAACCATTTTTTGGTATAAAGAGAAACTCTTTTCATTTTGCCCCGTGAACTCGCAAGTGGTAGGGAAGACAAGGAACGCTGCGATCACTCACAACTCGTGCTTTCTCCGTAGTCCAACTTCGGGTGTAGAGTGACTTTCTACAGCCTCATCCGATGTCTCTTGCTGTTTCGTCTCCTCTGTTTTCTAACTTCCTCTGTATTGCTCTTCCCACGGTCCCTCGTGTCCTTTCCTCCCTTGTCACCGCCTTTAGGGTTCTTTCTCAGTTCGTCTCTGATCTTGTCGCTACTGTCACTAACTTTGCCTCCACCTTGCCATTGACTACACCACTTAGTTGGTCTCTGCTCCTGTTCATCCTCCGTAGAATTATTCATATCATTGGCAATGACGTCATAAAGGACAAGAGATTTGATATAACTTTCTGTGCCGCCGCTAGTCTTTATCTCTGCGCCATGCTGCTAGGCCCTAAGGGTGACCCAAATGCTCTTGACATCCCGACCCCACGCACCTTCGCTGAGGCAATCTCGTGCCTATCACTGGATAGCAGCCATGGATATACAGATGGCATATTGGAGCTTCATAAACACGCTGCATGGCTTTCTTGGCCTGCAGATACCTAGGGATTGAGTTATGTGCACCATCACTCTGACTTAGTCACACATGGTGTAGCAAATCCTCTACCGCTTTAGCCTTCAATTTTCCTCGGCCTATTCAATTCATCTACATGTTGGCCATACGCTCTCGGTGAGAAAGTGAGAACGAGAATGAATGAAGTATGAGTGAAGTGGGTACAATTACTAACCCTAATTGGGTTGTACCCCCTATGGGATACCCCACTACAGCCTACACAAAAGCATAAGCTATAATGTTCTGACACACCCCCATAGGCAAAGTGGGGGAGAACAGGGGGTCACAAGACCAGTCAAGCAAAGCAAAACAAAGCAAAGCTCAGGGTGGATCACAAAGTCACCACACATTCCGAGCACAAGGTCAAGGCAACAAGGCCAGTTCACATGCAGAAGTACATATATATATAAGGCTAGACAAGCAAGAGCAGGTATATATATATGTAACAGCACAAGCAAGGTCAAGAGGTGAGCAAGTGAGGCAAGACAGGAACAAGACCCAGCTGGGTGCAGAAGCGCTCATGATCACAAGGCGCAAGTGCCTTGGTGAAGACATCAGCAGTGTTGGCCTCAGAGGCCACGTACGCAAGCCGCAACTGACCACGCTGCTGTAGCTCCCGAGCAAGGAAGTAGCGGAGAGCAATCAGCTTTGTTCTGTGCTCCAGTCTCTGCTCTCGACACAAGGCCAGCATGGCCTTGTTGTCTACGTACAGCACTGGAGGAGAACGAGGCGGCTCTCCGAGGTCACTCAGCAGGTAGGTGAGCCAGCGAAGCTCCTGTGCAGCCATGGCCCCAGCGTAGATCTCAGCCTCACAACTGGAGCCGAGAACAGAAGACGAGCGAGTAGCCCGCCACGAGACAGAGCCGGAACCAAGGCTGAAGGTGTAACCCTGTGACGACCGCTGCGTAGCCTGGTCGTCAACCCAAGAAGCGTCTGCGTGCCCAGTGAGGACCACTGGACTGCGCCCTCCAAGCACTAGCCCCATGCCCGACGTACTGCACAAGTAGCGCAACACCCTCTTCGCTACAGCCATGTGCTCTGGTCGGTGTCTCCCAGGAGCAACATAGCGTGCGAGAATGCTAAGAGGGTATGCAAGGTCAGGTCGTGTGCAGGTCATCAAGTACACGAGGCAGCCAACAAGCTATGGATACGGGCCACTCGACTCTACGGACTCATCCGAAGGCAGAGCTGAGAGCGAGTGGTGAGTAGGCAGAGGAGTGGCCTGAGGCGAGGAGTACGTGAAGCCGAAGCGCTGAAGGACCTGCTGCACCATGTGTGACTGAGTCAGGGTAATGGTGCGGCGTGCTCTATCCCGGGTGATCTGCAAGCCAAGGTAGCTGCGCAGTTCACCCAGGTCTGTGCACGTGTGTCTCTTCTGCAGCTCGGACTTCACGTGGGCGAGTCCAGCAGTGTCAGCTGTGGCAAAGACCAAGTCGTCGACGTACACGAGGATGTAGAACGGCGGCAGAGAGGTGTCGGTGCGTAGAAACAGCGACGGGTCGGCAGTAGACGGAGCAAACCAAGAGCCGCAAGCGTAGTCCTCAGTGTGTCGTGCCACTCACGTGGCGCCTGGCGGAGGACAATAAACTGGACGCCGGAGGCTCCACTGGGAACCAGGAGGGAACGACCCAGTGAAGCCAGGTGGGCGGCGCAGCCAAAATCTCCTCGTGCAGGCTGTCCTGCAAGAAAGCTGTGCCAAAGTCGAGAGAGTGCAGCTCGTAGTCACGGTGAGCAGCAACGTGCAGCAGTACCCGAAGAGTGGTCATCTTCAGGGTG